CCCCAAAACCCCAAAACCCCAAAACCCCAAAACCCCGAAGATGGTTCTTATAATTGATTTTATATAATTTTAATCTAAAAATGCTAATTGGAGCACAGTCCCAGCGGCAAATGAAGCCGAAGGGCAACAAATACACTCTTATGAACATTGACTTAGACGAGGTCAACCGTGCAGATGTCAAATACGAGGTTAATATTCCATACGACACTCTGCTGATATATTACCAGTCAGAAATACAGGTGGTCTGACTAGCTGAAATGAAGCTTGAGAGAATTATTGACTACATTCCATGCTCAATCACCTCAGCAGGGGTCCATAGCACAGGTGTTTACCTCACCAGCAACCGTAGAAGGGCTTCAGAGATTTTTATCCATGACAGAGAGACTATATGCCATCCTATAAATATTGCGGTAGAATCTTGTATCTTGGCTCATTTGGCATGCGAATATGATGACGAGCCCTATATTGTTGTTCTCTGTGCAGATTTTACCCTTAAAATTTATTCAGCAAGATCTGGAGAAAGAATAGTCGATAAGAAGATAGCCATCCTAGCTGAGCTGAGTCCGATATCCTTCTCATTATCCATTCTTGAGGAAACTAAGTGGATCTGCATTTGTGTGGATGGCAAAACACTAGTATTCGTTGACATGCGGGATTGGCATGCAAGTTATCCCATCTCAGAACATTTTGAAGGTATCGAAATGGTAATGGAGCTTAACTCTAGAGGTCCTTATTGAGTTATTGTCTGGAACGATGTTGAGAGCGACAAACACACTAAAACCCAGTCAAAAGTTATCTCATTGATGAAACTTCCTCCTGAAAATGATGAAGGAACTTTTGACTGTGAACACCATCGAATTCCAGTCGATGGCGAGACTGACATGCTTGATTGCGTTTGAGCAGATGACTCTTTATTGATTTTGTTGCAGAGTGGAAGTGCTATCAAGCTTATACAGTTTATAAACCAGGACCCATCACCAAGATTCAACTTTATTAACGAATTTATTGAGACTAAATACCAATTCATTTTTGCTAGGATAATTCCAGAAACTTTTTATAGTGAGGAGGACAGCCTGGAAGCAGGGGTCAATGTATACTTGTTCTTCCCAAAATGACAAAATATTGGAATTTATGAATTTCATCAAAATCCTGAGCTTATTGGATCAATCGAGCATGCTGAGAAGTTTAATGAGCATATCAAGCTTACATCGAATAGGAATATGCTGAAAAGCAACTCTAGGGATACTGGCTCGGAGATTTTTAACGATAATGATATCTCCAAATTGCTCAAGCAAGGATATTTAGAGCAAATCGGCAGTACTCTCCTGCTCAAGCAGCCTGGGACAGATGGGTACCACACAAATATGGGTGATCTAAGGGACTTTATCGAGAAATGGTCAAGTAAATTCGAAAGCAAGATCAACAACGTAATTATTGACTCTGTGCTGAAGTATTTCAACCCAGAAAAATACGGTAGCACCTTTGAAACCAAGAGGTCAATTATGAACAAAGCTGAAGAAGCTGAGAAGTCCATTCAGAGCTTAGTCAAGCTGTACCATTATATCTTGCACAGGCGGATTTTGGAGGGAAAAGAGAAGCAAATTAACCTTAGAGCTGATAAACTCAATATTTCTGATATCTCTGATATCAAAATGATCGAAAAGAGATGTGTCCAGATAGAATCTAATGTCAGGTTCCTCAAATACATGAATTGGTTCACTGAGCACGACTTCTTTATTGGCTATTACGAGAAACTAGAGAGTCTCCAAGGCAAGCACAAGGAGAGAAATGAATCTAAGATCCAGCACTATAAGAGAAATTTCGATCAATCTATTAAGAACTTTATTCTTGCTGATTCACTGTTTATTGACAAGATCATTGAAGAGACTGTTGGTAAGATCGACAATCTGAAATTTAGGCAGTGCAGGAGCAGCTGACTATAGGTCAATACTAAGGAGCAACAAGCTAACTGACTTTCAATACAACGTTAATAATGAGGACCAGGTTCCACCTGTGGCTTTGTCTTATCCTCTGAACGGAATTGAAGATTTTATTATCTTACTGAAATCTACCAATATTGACAAGATTAAGGATTATGTGGTGTTGTATACTTTGCTAGACCTGGACTTCCCAGCAGACTCTACTCCTATAATCCAGCTGGTAAACTCCTTGCAATGTGAAGACTCGCTAAAGGAGATTATGTTCTATTGGAGGCTTGAAAGCTCTTACATTGATGAGTCTAACCTCCAGTATACTATAAAGGATGTGCAAGGCCTCGAATTTATTCCAAAAGAATGGACTCCATCAGTACTCCAAACACTGCTTGAGCTGAAACATTTCAGTGCAATGAGAATATGGCAGGATTGGAGTCAGACTAGTCCGAATAGCCAGGTAGTCCAAGCTCTTGACCCTAAGATGCAGAAGACCTTTGAACTTATGATATATTCCTTATGCGAAAGCGGGAAGTACAACCAAGCTTTCCTATCCTTACTGGAAATTGAAGAGAGGGTCAACCCAATCAGATACAAAAATATTTTCAAGCTGTTCATTGGACACATGATTTCAAATGGCAAATTTGAGCATCTATGATCTTATCACTTAAGCGAGAGACAGGAAGATCTTGCCAAAGAGTACTTCAAAAGTAGGGACAGTGGCATGCACCAGATCTTCTACCTCTCCTTCATTGCTGCAAGAGGATCCACACTTGAAGGACTTAAAAATGCTGTAAAATTCTTTGACAAACTTCAGAGTGAAAGTCAGAATATCAATAGCTTCGGAGCAGAGGAAGCAGGGATTTTGGTCCCAATTGTAGGAATGTTGATAAAACTTTATGCCCATACACTCCCTCCAATCCAAAAGAAATTCGCATTTGATTACTTAAAATTGGAGCAAGGGAAGTTCCAGATTGCTTTGAGCACTAAAATGGCTAAGGAGAATAATATCAAAATGGAGACTGATCATGGTAAGTATTATTTCCTTCATCATCCACTCACCTTATATCTTTAATACCTCAAATTCTTTATCTTAACTGTTGGATATAGATTACGAAGGAAGTTCAGCTCATTTCTCGGACCAAGGGAGGTACACCCCATTCTTGAGCAGACAAGTAGATGACATAATGAAATCTGAAATCCCAAAGGAATTTGAGAGATCTTTCGTAGCCCCTCGGCCAAGAGACACCGAAGGCAAGACTAGCATCATCAAGAATTTCCCTCGTGAAGAGACTAGGGAAGCTCCTTCAGGAATGAACGTGTTGGAGAAGATAGGAATGTAAGATTTGTATTAACCCATCCTTTTAGGCAAACGCCAAAGCCAGACCCGAAGTTCCTCTCTATCCAGAAGAGAGACCACTTGTTGGACGACCACCACCATGAAGACATCGTCTTCAGCGAGCAAGATGAAGATATCTCTGCTGGCAAAGCAACTGTATCTAAATGGATGACCAACTTGAAGAACAAGAATGATGAGAGGAAGAACTACAGGACTCAAGATCCACTGATTTCAGTTTCTAAGGAGAACCCTTTCGCTAAGAAAAGAGGCTACGGAGATATGGACCTTATTGATTCCTTCAGAGGTAGGAAGTCCAAGAATGTGCCAAGCTCCAGTCCCTCACAGAGTGAGAAAGAGCCACAGGATTTCAGAAGAATCACTAAGGAATCTTTACTAGCTGGACTACCTGACAGAGTCCTTAATTTGTCCACAAAAGATGTCAAGCAAGAGAAAAATGAGGAAGATAAAGAAGAACAGAAGTCTGAAGTGAACTCAGATGAGAAATATACACCTTCTAGCTCTAATAGGGATGTAGAAATGGACCCAGATGATGGCTACAAGTCTAGCCAAAATCATAATAATAGCATTAAAGAAGAAATTGAGCAAATTGATATTGATGATTCTGAGAATTATGGTGATCAACAAGAAAGCGACATTGCTGTAGAAGACGATATTGTTGTAGACCCTTCTCCAGCTCCTTCAAGTAAAAATTTGGATGAAGTGTCTGGAATGAGCCCTTCAGGGAACAACATTTCTCACGAAGCTTTTGGACATCAAGAACCAGATATCCACTTCGATCCAGATCCTGAGTCACTAATAATTCCTAGAAAGTCTTCTTCGAGCGAGAAGAAGTCCTCTTCAAGTGAGAAGAAGTCCTCTTCAAGTGAGAAGAAGTCCTCTTCAAGTGAGAAGAAATCTTTTTCAAGAGAGAAGGAATCCTCTAGGCAGAAAGGCAATAGTCAAGAAGGAGAAGACAATATCAACGATAATGAGGCAAATGATGATAATGAAGACAATGAAGATGCTGATATGCAACCAGCTGAGCTGTCCTCAATCCACCTAAGTACTCCTCCAAAAAAGAGAAGAATGAGTTTTGAGATGCAGAAGCAAAACCTCTTCGAATTCCCTTCTGACCAACAAAACGATTATGAGTTTGAACTCTTGGGTGACCCTAACACACATGACCCCAACCCAGTAGGTATCCGGCCAAGATGGTCGAAGGCAAATGACGATATCGAACTTGAGAAGAGGAAGAAGATTGCTAAAAGAAAGAGGATCATGGGTTTCTTGTACGGAGGTAACATGCCACATCTGAGGAGAAATACTTCTAAATACAAAGATATTAACGTTGGCTCAGACCATTCCCCTGCGAAGGATCTCGAGAGCCAGCAGCTGATGTCTTCACAAAAGAAGAATGAACTTGAGAGGATCTCCTCGAAGGAAGAACTTAGCTCAAAAGGGTCAAGAAAGCATAGAAGAGAAGAAGACAAAGAGCATAATGAGGAAGTTGAGAGGGATGACAGGATTTATAGCGAACAAGTTTACAATCAGAATAGCTCTTTCAACTCAAAAGCTTCGAATAGGAACATCGGGGAGGCGACCAGATCCCAAGCTCAGGCTATCATGATGGAGGACAGAGTCACAGATTCAGCAAATCTTCTTGAGAAAGTAAAGAGAGTTGTCCAACAAGACAATGTGAAAGAGCAGGCTGACAACTTAGATGTCGTCCAGGAAGAGAGTTCAGAGAGATCAGTCGTCAGTGGAATAGCTATTAGCTCAAATAACAGCCAAGCTGCACCTCCTGCAAACGATGGAGAGCCAGATATAGTTTTCGAAGGTAGGCCTGTAGTCTCTAGCCATATAGCGCTATCCAGCAAGAGCGGTGAGAATAAGAACTCTCAGTCAAACGGGTCTCAAAACCAGAATGAGCCAAGTCCAATGAGAACTAGAGCTCAAGCCGTTATCTCAAAGAATAAAAGGAAGAAATATCAAGGGAAAAAGAGGAAGTTCTAATCACAAAGGTGATATAAATTTTTAAAGATTTATTAGAAACAAATCTATTTTACACTTGGTCTCAACGGGCTTGACCTATAAAGGGGTTTTGGGGTTTTGGGGTTTTGGGGTTTTGGGGTTTTGGGG